CGGGGCACAATGCAGCATCAGCAGATACACAAGGGGGAGCTCGTATAATGCCTCATCATCAGAAGCGCATCGTATATAGGCACTAAATACGTACCAGCAGTGTATAGCTTCTCGTGTATAGTTTTGCGGGGAGTAAATCAGCTCCAAAGTATACTGCAGCGACGACGGTATAGATACGTGTGGAGGCTTTTCTCCTGTTTCGGAGCACCGAGACACATTGGCTGCAGTAACCATATACTATACGCCACTCCGATAACCACCAGACTCTCCCAGGGCAACGAGTGTAGGTACACGGGCACGCACGCACACAACGAGATCGGCTATATATTATGCATGTGTCGTCCGATGAGCTCCGCCGATGTCCCACGATCCCGTGTACATACGCCACATAAGTACATGGGCCACACTAATGACACGCAGGTGCGATGTACAACATTTTTGCCTCAACGACCGCGACACGGCGGCACGCGCGACTTTTCAAGCATATACTTATACGTATGCACCACCTAACAATTCGAAGCGGCGACGGCGACTACTCTCCTGCTCTCGCGAGAGTGTGGTGCGCTCGAGCTACGTGCCATGTATACCCCACTATAGACACGAGCTACCCGACGACTACGCACGACGGCGAAAGTATACCTATGTAGTGGTGCGACGACAAACAACTGTGTATAGTGTGTACATGCAGAGACGAAGGAACAGCGCACCCGCACTATTGTACGGACGCGCGCGCAAAAGCACTAGCACACGTGCCCCCGTCCCCGCACACACAACACGTTAGCCGTAATCAAATCAAATGTGGACAAAATTACGTATACTTGTGTGGTGATGCTTATGCTTGTAACTAGTCGCACGCACCCTTTACAAAGTACCCTCCCTTGATTGTAGCACCCCACCCCCGCCACGGTTGTTCATTGTCTTGTCTTTTTTTGCCCCGACGGTATCACGTGTAGAGCAACACTCATGGTATCCAGTTCAGAACGAGGAGAAAACCGTCGGACGGTCAGTATAGTTCGTCCGTTTGTGTATATTTTACCGGCGCGGGTGCGCTGTATCCGCTTGGGTAAAACATCCAATCGTCATCGGAGGTAAGTAGGGCGTATTTCACGGGGAATCGGTAAGATAACGATTCGTCACTAGGGTTTGGTATGATTATTTTTGCTCTGGAATTTCGAATCAAGTTGACTGCCAGTTATTTATCACATGAAGCACTTATTTGAATGATTTCAAGTTTTCCTATTTAAGAAAATAGTCTGACTGCGGATGAGTAATTTGATGACTGTTTTAGTGACATTTGAAACATTTGTTGCCCAACACAAACAATTTGAATGGCTTTGGATTTAGCTGGTTAGTTGTTGTTTCGCGGTCGATAGTATTCGTGATATTAATCGTCAAAAAGACTCGAATTATCAAAATTGCAGTAGGATCATGTGGAACAAAAGTTCGAGTTTAGCCATAAAACTGATTACTTGGATAACGGCGAAGTTGATGGTATTTAAAGAGCAACTCGACGAGCAAGACTTGCTCAACCGATTAGGTCACTCGCTACCCTCATCGTCGTAGGCCCGTCCGATGATTACATCTGGTGGAAGAGGAACGAAGTTTGTGAGCTGACGGCTGGCGGGAAATTTAAGACAAGAATTTTGTGTACTCCACAATCAAGTTTTACAGCGTTAAACTACACGATCGGATATTTTCATTCGAATGGTTTGAGCAACTTTTGGTGCGGATCGGGATAAATACACGTAGCAGCAACAGTAGTTAGCGATTGTTTGAAAAACCCAAGACATTCCTTGAACTGGTATAATTTACGTTTTTTAATTATTTAATGATCCAAGTCATTATTTTCTCGATGAATAATCAAAGACAAGAGCGAACAATCGATTATTATCACTTTGCATAAAATGGCCAATTAATCGACTTTTTTTTTTAAATTTTCATTATCGATACAAATTGTGACATATTATATTCTGCTGTGCAATTAAAAACATTTCGAAATTTAATAACGGTTAATCGCAAGTATCGATAGTAATAAACCTGCCATTTCCGCCTATTGCAGGAATAAACGGAAAGTTGTGGATGTCGAATAAATAGATTTTTTTCTAGATCAAAAATTTTTCTCTACATAAAAGGTTACAATGCTAACGCTCTGAAAGACGAAAATCGCGTTACATGTGGTAAAAATCACGTTGCAACACCTTTTCATGTGGATTTGTCCGAAAAAAAGTATATATTAAGCAATCGGTAATTCAAAGCTTACAACTCGATTTTGGCTATTTGAAGTTAGATCGGATAAAATCTCGACGTGTCTTCCCTGATGAAACACAATACACAGGCAAGACTTTCTTTTCCGCAAGATGTTTTGGATCTCGCCCCAACCTCGATTAGTCAAACAGACGCGCCACAACTCGAGTACCATCCCCCCTCGGGAGCAGGGCAAAAAGTTGAAACTACCCTCCCAAACTCGTTGATACAACAAATGGCGGTTCACGATGATGTATCCGCAAAACTTTTTCCGATCGGGTGCTCACATCCTTGATGGTTCACCGTATATATAAAGCTCGGAACTTTGGGAGGGTTTACACAAGCGTATACACATACAAACGCGGAGTGCAAAAGTTGGGCTTGGAGTGAATGGAAATAAAGAGAGAGACGCAAAACATGCGATAGATCGAACACACACACACATACGCAAATGAAACAAAACGAGGGAGATGGAGCAGAGAGATGCAAGTCTGATGAGATAAAGTTTGTAGGACGAGCTAGTATAGTAGTTCCTGGACGCAGCGCTTTTTATTTCAAGCCTCCCAACTGTTTCATCGCTGATCCGATAATACTTTCACGCGCAGCTTCGATTTTTTTTCTCTTCCCCTGCACTGTGCTCCGTACTCTTTTTTTTCCCCTCTCTTTCCCTGTTTTTAATGCAAAGGCCATCAGTGTTCCTCACGGAGTGGATTTTTGATCGTACCTGTGATATGTTTCTATAATTCAAACGGTGCATCCAATAACAGCGGTGCAGGTATAGTCAAATAAAGAAGTCAAGGGCTGTTTATTGACAAATAAACGACGAAAATTACAAATTAAACAAATGTAAAAACATCATGTCGAGTAGTGGGTACAAGTATAAACGACTAACAAATATGTCGTAGACTTTAGCAGAACAATGTGCCAGTAACTACGTGCTCACTAATTCATTTTATTATATAAACTATTTTAAAAGCCAAGCATTTGTAGTCGACGTTACGCCATTGTATAATTTATTTCATGGTTTTAATGACTTAGTGAACACCATCCACTGTAAGTGGTCGAAACGTCGTTCTTCGTTTGCGAATAAACAGACACGAACATCACATAGCCCTTGACTCATTTATTCGACGAGATTCCTCAGTTTCCAGAAGCTCATACTCGTACGTTACTTTCGTGCGACGAAACAAACACAGTAATCGTGGAATTAGAGTCACATACCCACTCGTACACATATACAGCGAAAGACCGACACGCATGGAATAAATGACGTTGATGGTACACACGCAGGATTTCGCAACAGAAGCGCCAGTAGCAGCGAGCCGGAGATTTTTAATCAAACGAAACATCTCGATGAGTTACAAGTGGAACAAAAGAGACTGCGTGGAACGGGCGCGCATCGCCAACTCGAGGAGACGGCTGGTCTTGCACTTGAGAATGAGTCTACATATATGCGCTGCAAGCGACGTTTATTCTCCGATCTGGCACACGAGGCACATTTTGCTCCAACAATTTATTCGCTCAAACATCGAACGACAATATTAGTACCGCAGACTTTGTCAAAACGTATATAGGACAAGGCAATTTATTACGCAAAATATCCAAGCTCACAACAAAAAAAAAAACACTTACAGCTACGATCGCGGGATACTTGAGTAGTTTCACGATCTCAAACAGATTGGCTTTTTTTTCCCCTATCGGACTCGCGTGATGCAAAACTAGAGCGCAGTAAAGAAATTGACGCCGCAAGTATTTTTTCTTCTCGCACTTTCGAGTGGTCGATAGGCGCTATATACTCAAGCACGTAAAACCCTGTACACACATACTCATTACGCAACGGTAGATCCGACCGCTAATGCTCACCACAAATAAAGCGCGCGGTGGCGCGATCGCGCAACTTTTTCTATATAATCCTTACGGTTTTGCCTAACCGTCCATTCGGCACTTCCATTGCGTTTAACGTCCAGGCAGTATACAGCTCATACGGACAAAAATACGCAACCGTTGCCTGTGCTATATACTTGATGAAAAAAAAAGTCTACAAAATTCACGTAGCATCTCTGTAGTCGCACACACCCCACCTCTCAAACACCTTTCCTCGGGTATATAATGTACATCGGTTCCCACACCATCTCGCCGCTCTTTTAACCAGCCTCTCGAACGATCAATCTTCCCCACCGGTCGGCTTTGATCTCCAAAGTGTGCGGATGAAGAGGGGCAAGGTAGAAACGACGGCGAAAAAAAGTACATCATCCCTCGAGTGCGAGACACCTCGAGAGAGGGAGGGACAAATCGGCAGTGGAAAAACGCGCTCGCCGATCGCGGGGAGTCTTTATATTAAAGGCCACACTCGGGCGCTCGCGCGCTACAGTACCTCCGCGGCAAACGCTCCGGCCGGTGCAGCGTTCCTTTCGCGCTTCAACTGGACTTGTTGATTGGCTTCTTGTTGGTAGACTCGAGAATCGGCGATGACGATCGACTGGACAGTACTGGTCCTGGGGTCACTGTACGGAAAGTACCTGTGCTTGGCTCCACCTGTGTAGTCTCGGCTCTTTTTTCTCTTCCTGAGAGGTGAGTCAAGGTCGCGTCATCGTGATGGAATAATCAATCGTAAAGCAATAGATTATCGAAAAGTGCAAGACAAGTTGGTCGATCCACGCGTGATACGTAATGATATATCGGCTGCCCAGGGGGTGGATGAACTTGGTCAAGCGGGGGTGATTCAACCATCTAATACGTATACGTATATGGGGCAGATGCTGCTGCCGGTGCTGCTGTTGCTGCTGTTGCCGCGCACCTGCGAGTGGGGCCTCGCGGCTGGCGGGTCGACCGATGAGACGAGCATCGACGACGCAAAGCGCCTCAAAAAGGATTATCGCCGGCTCAAGAAACAGGAGGGGGCGGTGAGACTCGTCGGGGGCAAGAGGGGCACCTTCGAAGGTAAATACGATCGACACGGCCGAGAGCCAGTTTTTGCCATACTCGAACCCTCAAACACGTACCACCCGTTTGTTTTTACCATCTGTCGCACACTTGGACTTTTCGGAAAATTTTGATGGCATGGAGATTAATCAATTTTTATTAGGACCTTGTTCCCAAGTTTCTTTAGCCCCGGACTTTTTTTTTTTTTTTTTAATTGTTTTTTCTTTCTTTTTCTTTTGTTTAGGGTGAGAGCCGATCGATAGAAATACTCATCGTGCACGATTTGGAGAGTAAATAAGTTGATGAATGAATCAAAAGATAAACAAATAAACAGATAAAGTGATAAAAATACATACAAGTGTACATATTACATGGCTGTTATATGTGCGATGTATAAAATTACTTTTCTCGGGGGCAAATTCTTTTGCGCATATATGCGTGCACGCGAAGCGTTTGCATACAAAATAATCTTAAATTACGGGGATAAATAAGTTGCTGCAATTTTTCTACGATTACGCCAAGTGCGAGATCATCTACATGTAAATGTGGGTATACATATATACGCATATGTGGGTAGCATAAGCTCGTTTGTTTCCACCTTTGAAAAAGTGTTGCGAAATTCTCGTGCAAATATGTGCTTACGTGATTTACATTTTTAACTGTAAAATATAAAAGTAAGAACAACAACACTTTTAACTTGGATTAAGCTGTCTGAAACACATGTTTGCTACTATACTTTTTTTTTTTTTTTCATCGTTTCTATTTGTATTTTTAGTCAGTTTGTTCAAGTTTCTTTAAATTTACAACAGGTTGCTTTTGCTGTATGATTACTCTTTTTTTTTTTCTCTGTTTTTTATCGAACAGTTGCATGCAAAACACAATTTACATTTAAAAACTTTGTCTAATACGTTAATATAACTCTTCAAAGTAACATCAATTTTTTTTTTCAAATAAATTCGTGAGCCAATGTTATGCACACCTTAGTTTCTAATACATGAATTGATTGAAAAATTTAATTTCCCGTGATAATTGAATGATGGAATCACTGATTTTAATTCGCTAAGAAAAAAAAAAACACCTTTTTTACGTGCTTCACTAACTTCAAAACTAGAATTTATTATTTTACCAGAAACAAGTAACAATTAGTATGGAAAAATGAAAAAAGTAGCAACTTCAAAATTGAATAGTAGTATGAGGATAAAATTTCTGTTATAACGTGAGAGTGGTCCGAAATGTATTTACTTGATGTACGTATTTGTATCGTCATCATGATTTCACGTATGGCAATTCAGTAATTTACATCCGACTGAGCAGCTTCCATTCCATGTTGAAATCTGACAGTTCATACTCGTAAAGATCTAATAGAAGGGAAAAGTTGACCTTCAGCTCCGAGGGGAAAGAAACAATATTATTTTTGGCAATAACTTAACAAATCGATCTTTCAGGCAAACGTCACTTGATGAAAAATTATACTCAGATTTCATTGAATCAAAATTTTCTTTGTGCCCTACACTTTTCTACGTAAAATCATCCAATAAATGCTCAGAATTTGTACAACTCTATTGCGTCCCAATACTTTTTTCTCACCAACCAAACAATCAGTCCGCATTGCGAAAAGAAGAGATCCTGTGACATGACTGATTATCTTAACCAACGACTAATGTTGAATGTTTATAAAAAAACAAAAACTTCATAATGCAAACATTTTTTACAAGTTGAAAAAACCTCGATCAATCATAATTGTACAGAGAAAAGAAACCTTATATATACAAACTGTGATTTTCTCTCTTTATATGAAAATAGCTCAGTAGGTGCACGTCATATAGGTAAGTGTGTACCATCGATACTCCCGACGGCCATGCCTAACGAAATCGTAGCAATCTAATAATCTCCGTTGGCTATTTTGGTACCCACTTCGTACACAGACCAAGGCAATGATCGGCTCGGGGCGCAAACAACCACCCATACAGAAAGTACAAAAAAAAAATCTCTCATAAAAGATACGCGAAGTAACATCGGGATGGGCGGAAAGAAATTTTTTTCGCTCCTGTTGGGCTGATATAGAGAAGCTAAAAGATAAAAGTATAGGGAAAAGGGAGTTTTTGAACTGCGAGAAAAAAACCCCTCGGTATAATGAGTACATACATATTATATACAACTGGTGCAGTAGATATTATTGTATGTGTATACAGCTCTTTCTCCGTCTCCCTCTTACGTAAGCTCCGACCGATCGATCCGTCCCATGTATACAGCGCCGGCTTTGTGCGTCCGTGCGTTGGTGTAAGCGTGTGTATATATATGTATACATGTATATTGTCTGGCTGCTGCAGCTTATATAATATACTTGTATACACAATCACGTACAACACGTGTGCTATGCTATCGCTGTTCTACATTGCGGGTGTACCTACATAGATAGCGGTCCTTTCTTGTGCCAGCGTCGCCCCTACGTTGTCAATAATTCCTTCCCTTCGTCGAATTTTCGGACCTACTCCTCCTCCTCCCCCTTCCCTTGTCCTTGGTAATTCTTGCTTTTTGGTCAAGGCCAGAGGGGCATCTATACGGTCAAGGGGTGTATTACTCATTGTCCCATCGAGCTTCAACAATTTTCACGTACATCGTCTCACACTCCACTAATGGCGAAACTAATGCGTAATTGTGTTTATGCAAAAGTACCTAAAAGCTTTGTACATGCTGTACCGCGACGCTAATTTCACTTGTGTAATTACGTTCAAGTAGTTTTTAAAGAAAAGTCGGAACTGAGTAAGAGCCGAATCCCAACGGGGAAAACTTTCGTCATGCCTATCGCGAGTGTCACGCCATTTCCCGAGTAAGACGTACCAAATGAACTTTGTAACTCGATAACCCGAAAAGTTTCAACCCTGTTGTGCGTCTACATTACTTACCATGAAATTGCAAAATCAGAAAATTCAATGACTCGATTTAAGAAAGTGTACAGGTTTTCAAGAGGACGGACGGGGGTCATATGGACATACCGATGGGTCAGAAAATTAATCGTTGTAAAAAAAACGGGGGGTCGGAGAGACAATGATCGTGCCGAGGTATGGGAATGTAAGATTGGCGCGGTTTAATTGAGCTCATTTGTAAATCGAGGGGCAGCTGTGTTCCTCCGGCTCTTTATTTTTAATCGCCTTGCACTCGGTGAACTTACCGGGGCTTCGGTTTTTTTTTTCCTCGAATCGATTATGACGTGCAGGCTCCCAATGGCATTGGGTTTTCTACGCTCGCGCGAGAAAGAGAACACGCGGGATTGCCAATTAATTGACGGAATCGATTTCGCTGCACTACACACCCACATACACTGTACGTTCGGCACGCGGTTATTTCGGAAAATCAATTATTCCGCGATTAAATTCGCCTGCTCTCGCCGATATTGCGGGGGAATGGGTGATTTTTAACCAAATGCCTCCCCGCAGACTCGGCTTTTCGTTTATCGACTTTCAACTCGTTAAATTTTCGTTTAGTGGTACATCACCGGGTAATCACGGAATTCATAGGCCCGTAATCATTTTTCAAAAAAAAAAAAAAGAAAGGAGAAAAAGCAGCCAAGGTTATTCCGATTGCTCAGCTCCGCATGAAAAAAAGATGTTATACGCTGATGCTGCGAGGAAAGCACCTGGGTAATTTTGCTCGCGCAAAAAATAAATAATTCAGAGCCGGGGGTGCGCATAAATCCGTCGCTCTGCTCTCTGTTCTGCGGGCGCGGTAAATTATTTATCGCGTGTACACATGCACGCGCGAACGTACATGATAACTCAAACTTGAAGAGATGAACCTTGTTGCAAAAACATCGTAACGGTAAACAAAGTTTCTTCGACGTGCTCCCTTGAAAAGCGAAAAAATATTGCACGGCAAATCTCATTCAAGCGGTTACCCTCGTACCGGAAGCACAATCTGGATAAATGAATAAACCAAGATGTGTGGGTGTTTTCGACAGGTAACGTGGAAATCCTGCACAAAAATCGCTGGGGCAACGTATGCGACGACGAGTGGGACGACCTGGAGGCGAGGGTCGTTTGCAGACAGCTCGGCTACGAGGACACCCAGGCACGGGCCACCGGCAACGCTCGCTTCGGCCAGGCAAGAAGTAAAGTTAAATTGCGTCAAATTACGGAAAACTTTGCACGCCCTCCTCTCCCCCTCCCTTCGCCCCTCATTCTCGTTCTTCCGTGTTGTGCTCCAAACGTCTGGACCAGCCAGCTCCATGTGCAGCGGATAAACTCAAACATTTTCTCATCGTCCCAGGTTGCCCTGCGTTTCATTTCATATCAAAATACAACTCATTTTTTATTACACGTTCGAGTTTTACGGTGATTCGGTACAAACCCATCGTACCCCAACTCAATTCGAGTGTCGCGTATAGACGAGTAAAAGAAAAAAAAAAAAAAAAAAAAGAAAAAGAAAAAGTACAAAAGTATCGGTACCGCGTAGGGCGCTACTGGATGGACAACGTGCTGTGCGACGGCTCGGAGGCCCAGCTGGCAAAGTGCCGGTTCGACGGCTGGGGCAGGACGGACTGCAAAGCCGGCGAGGCAGCCGGGGTGACGTGCATCCAGGCGAAGAACGATGGGAGAACGATTGCCCCCGAGCGCAGGAAGAGCAAGATCAGAGACACCCACCGGCGGGGGATCGCCCTTCGGCTTGCCGGCACTCGCCAAGGACGCCTCGAGCTCAAACTCGAGGACTCGGGTATGCATTTTACCTATGTATATAAACGGGGCGGCTTTCAAAGCTGACGTCGGGGCCGATCGATTTCCACGTACCATCACTGCCAACTGTTAAGCTTCTTTCCGCTCTCGGAAGGCCGAGTCAGCGTCATGTAATAACTTACGCGTGGATTTGCCGACAGAGTGGGGAGTCGTGTGCGGGGACGGATGGTCGCTCCTGGAGGCGGGGGTCGTGTGCCGGCAGCTGGGCCTCGGGTACGCCAGCCAGGCTTACCAGACCAGGTTGTCCGAGGAGGAGAGGCTCCCCATGGCCGTCAGTGGGATCACGTGCCACGGCGACGAGAGGAACATAGCCGAGTGCCTCCACGACCTTGTCCTCAGCTGCCCAGGTCTTGCTTTTTTTTTTCCCCTCCGCTTTTTGCTTTGGGCGATACACGACCAATGCTCCGATCCACGGAAAAAAGTCACAAAAAAAAAAAATAATAATAAAATAACTGACTCACCCTTACATATAGTTACTTCGTGTCCTCATGAAAAAAAAGGTACCCTCGAATGATTCGTCCGTTGAGTGTTTGTCGACCGCGCGTAGTTGGAGACACTCGCGTGTCGTGACCCGCGCTTCGCGTGCAGACGGAGCGCATGAAAGATTCACCGGGGCGTCTGATACACGAAAAGATGTATGCTCCTGTAGGAGCGAGAAAAGGTATACGGCAGACGGGGTTCATAAAAGAAAGAAACCGTTCTTTGGTAGGGGGGGGGGGAAGTAGCCGCTTAACAGCTCGCACGCACGCATCACGCACGGAATCGGAAGAAGTCCAACCGTGTGTATTGTATAGGAGCGAGGGAGAACGTGGCAGGGGTGTCGTGCGCGGAGCGTCTGGCCGACCTGGTGCTGGACCACTGGGAGCTCGAGAGGACGGCCCACCTGGAGGACCGGCCCCTGTACTGGCTGCAGTGCGCCATGGAGGAGAACTGCGTGGCCTCGCAGGCTTACGAGCTGCGGCGCGAGAACGGACACGACTGGCGCCGGCTGAGCCGTAGATTGCTCAGGTTCACCGCGAGGATACTCAACGCCGGGACCGCCGATTTTCGGCCCTCCGTGCCCAAGCACCTCTGGGAGTGGCACATGTGTCACATGTAAGCCGTCGTTGCGTAGGATATCGGGCTGTACAATACCTATTTTTTTTTTTTTTTTTTTTTTTCCCTCTTTGTCGCAGGCACTATCACTCGATGGAGGTGTTCGCGACGTTCGACGTGATTGATTCTAGCGGCAAACGCGTGGCCGAGGGTCACAAGGCTTCCTTCTGCCTCGAGGACAACCAGTGTCTGCCGGGACTGAAGCCCAGGTAAGCCATTATTTTTTTATTTTTTTTTTTTTTATCAGCCGATCTTACAATTATACATCGCAGTTACAAGTGCGCCAATTACGGGGACCAGGGCATATCCGTCAACTGCAGCGACATTTACCGGTACAACATAGACTGCCAGTGGGTCGACATTTCGGAGCTCGCCCCTGGCTCTTACACGTTCAAGGTGACTATTATTATTTATTCTTACCCACCTGCAACTTTAATTCACGTTTACGTAATCCCAATGGGAGACAGTCGGTCTCGGCTCGTATACATAAATATATACGTACGTTAGGGTAGTGCATAAGGTTTGTTCGACACACGGACCATAAGTATTATCCGTTACATGAGTTAATTTCGTCGGGGCGAGTGATACCTTGACTTTGTTAAATATCGCCAGGGCATATAGCAAGCGGGTACAAAGCGTCGGAAATAGTTGATCAAAGTTTGTTCGGGATCGCGTATACAAGAACAATGACGCCCCAACGCAGGGGGTAGCGAGCACAATCTCCAATTAACGCGCCCGTAGAACCATTAATAAGCGAAGCCCTTCGCAAGTTGCTTTCAGCGCTACGGCTACTATGCGTGCTTTTAAAACTAGTGCAGTAGCTTATAATATATAGGGAAGGCGTTATTAGAAAAAGTGAGCGGGGGGTCGTATATATAGGTATCGAGGATGACATCAGCTTTGTCGTACAATCAGTATGTCCATGTAAAATGAATATTAAAATGAACAATTTACTCAATACTCGAAATTTTTCGGCTAAAGAAACAGCCGAAACTTCAAACGCTCGCACCTCCATAAAGGATATAGAGATATCGCAAAATAAGCGATAGTTGTGAGTCATAAGAATTCATGAACAAAAATTTGTGTCTTGATTCGCGTGTGCTTAGCCAACGCTTGAAAAATTATTTCAACAACTAAAACAACATTTACTGTTCAAAAGCTGTTTAATTTGAGACAGAAAAATTGTGTTTGCAATTAAGGATTCTACACAGGATTTTTGCAAGTTACATTCGAGACAAATGTTCTAAGCCTACTTTGGCCTATATATCATGCGTTAATTTTGTGTATATTTATTAATATATTATTGAAAGTATGTTGTGTTGACGTTTAAATTTCGTAATTCATGTAATAACACAAAATGTCAGACTGTGCGAGTGGGGGTCGTGGTGATGTCGAGGTTCATGGCCGTTAATTTAACGTGAATTCTGGTCACTCCGTAGGTCGCCGTGAACCCGGAGCTCAAGGTGGGAGAGATGTCGTTTGACAACAACGCCGCCACGTGCAAACTACTTTACACCGAAACATTTGCCAAAGTCCACGGCTGCGTCATGGGCAGGCCCTGACGGCAATGCCTCCTCCTCCTATCTGCCGCGCACACGCGAGGGCATACACATGCCTATAAGGAATGAATACCATTAGGGAGGCCCGAGCGGTGATGGTCACTTTGTGCCGCCCTCCACGTCCACTAATGGCCACATACGGTTGGGCTGTTGTACATAATATGTGCTTGTTTTGTAAATACCTGATCGAACGCCACTTCCATTGGTCTTTGATTTTAAGACTTTCCAAGATGTTGAAATAAAATTGCAATTGCAGTGAAATTGTACACACCTGCTTGAATTTAACTCAACAGCAAATCCCGATTTCATATTTATTATCTCCATGCATTTTGTTTGAAAGGTATACGTCGTATAATCCGCGCATATATTAAAAAACAATTTAATAATCCACGTATACGTTTTATTTAAAAAAAAAAAAAAAAAAAAAAAGGGGGGGGGGTGGCAAAATCTCGAGTGATTCCGTCTGTTTCGAGCACCTTTGTACCGCGAGTGGAAAGCTGTGCAGCCGAGAGGAGGGGTGTAAAGGGGGTACACACATGCTCCACCTGTCAATTACGCGGGCGTGCACAGAGTCTCCTCGTATATCGTACACAATTAACGTGACTCGCGGGAGGGTAATTCGTTTAAGTTGGAAAGAAGAAGGTAGGCCAGCGTCGGCCTGTACGGCTTCCGCGCGGCCGTCGCTAATGCAGTCGGCCGTCATCCACCTCGTGTGTCCCTCGCAAAAAGGAAATTTTCTTCTTCTTCTTTCTCCCCACCCGATGTAGGCCACGCTCCCAATATCCCGTATCTTCGAGCGGTTATATCTCATGGTGAATTCGATGGTACGTGGTCGCGGGTGTTTCGAGGTGATGGAACATCGAGAGGAGATTATGCAGCGAGTTAGCCGTGGAGAATCGTTCGGCCTGACGCGCTCGCCGTAGCGATGATCGGAGGTGGAGGAGAGCCAGCGGCGTAGGGCAAGCTTCTTCCTGGATATCGACTAAACTTACGCGCGGCTCCCACGATCGTTCGCTTCGTCCGGCCCGCGTGTTCACCTCGAAATTTCACGAACGGGGGGGAGACATGAGGCTGTGGGCGCTCCTGGCGGTCCTCGGCGGTGTGCTCGCCATCGAGGACTTGGTTTGCATGAAGAACCACACGGTCATCGAGACTTCGGGGGACGCCGTTCTCTCTGGTGAGTGCGTCATTGATCTCATGTGTTTTTGTTTTATCACCATAGTTCAACTGTATTGGCATTTTTATTTTTTTATTTTTTTTATTTTTTTCAAATTAATTTCATTCGAGTGAGCAACCCGTTATGCATACGTAGAGAATCCGTATAGGAAATCGTTACTAACGAGGCCGATCTCAGTGGGTTTGTTTCAATAACATTTGTCATTACTGCACTACACTGTCATTGTCTGTATTTGATTTTTCGTTTGGCCCTACGGAATGTATATTTTCGAAAGCCCAACTTTTTCCGTTCAAGCGGGGGTAAAAAACTAAAAAATGAGAGAAAAAAACAAAAAAAAAAGAATTATCTCATGAAAATTTGATGTAACTTGGGGTGTAATTTAGTTTTCATAGACACGGATTACGGACCCGACTGCAACATCTCGTCCCCGAAGAGCATCCAGGAAGTGGCGACGGCACTATTCGCGGCCCAAAGTTTGAACAAAATGGAGTTTGTGCCCGGAATCACGATAGGTAAGGAAAAACGGGGTAAAAAGTGTCCAACGTATAACTTACCCTCGAATCATCACCACGACTTTATAGGCCTCCGACTGTACGACACTTGCAACGACCGGGTGGCCGTGTACAAGCAAGCCCTCATCTCGGCCGTGGAGATGGACTGGTATATGGACTTTAATCACCTTAACATAATAAATGTCATACGGTGGATCGATCAATAAAGTAAAACCGTAGCTCGGCGCACTACGACCTCGGGATCCTCGCGCCTCAGCGTTTCGCCGAGGTCCTGGAGCCCCTGCGCAGCCTCGACATAATACCCGTGCACACGTACGCCAACCCGAACCTCAGCCAGCCCCTCGTTGACGTCCTCGTGGACTTTCTCGGCACGTGGGTGACCAGCGTCGACCTCCTGCTCACGGGCTCCCGGCCCATCCTCGACCGCGTGCTCAACGTCACGAAGGAGGCCGGCATTTGCGTCCGTAGCGACAAGGAGCTCGAGCCCGGCGGGGCACCCACCAACGGCACCGAGAGGTGAGTATCGCGCACAAGTGGGCCCCGCAACCAAGTCGAGGGGGCACAAGTGGCAATGATAAAAACCTGTGGCCCCCATGTTCAGGCTGATAGTTGCCGTGGGCGAGCACGAACAGGTCACCACCTGGCTGGACGATCAGGAGAGCTACGGCGACGAGGGCGAGAAGGTCGCCTGGCTCGTGCTGCCCCTCGACAATTCTTACGTCGACGGTAGGTGTCCACTGCCGTAACCAAAGTAACATCGAGAGAAAGTGCACAATTGATACCATGAGTACTTAAAAAAACAGATTTGTTGCCGGAGGGCTCGTACGTGATAAAGCCCGAGCAGATGTTGGTGGATTTGAGCCAGGACCTGGACACAACGGACATATCGTCGGTGCCGGTGGGCACGATAACCCGCTCGCCCCACCTGCTCAGCATCGGCAGGGCCATAGTCGAGATAGCCAAGTCGCTGCTTGACCTGCAGATCAAGAGCTGCCCGCTCGGCTCGAGCTCGTGCGCCCTGCCGCGCTTCGAGGCCCAGGAGGACCGGTCCATCAGCAACGCCGAGCTCTACGAGGCGCTCCACATACCTGCCAAGTCCCACTCCACCAGGTACTCGATACATTCACCCGTTCAGTAAAATGGCTCTGGGAGGTATATAACGTTATTTAAAAGATAAAGGCCCAACCTATTACAGACTACTTTCACTCCCCCGTTTTTTTCTTTTTCGTCCAAGTTTTGCGTCGATTCCCCAAGTACACACGATAAAGTTCACGACAGCACACAATATCCGCTAAACAAAAGTCCAAGAGTCGATTGCGTATACGTAACTGTGCATGCAATCGAGGATTCCCCGTCATTCTTCGAAGCATTACTTTCACACGAACTTCGAAGCATTTACGCGATCCTGAAATTGATGTGAAAAAAAAAAAAAAAAAAAAAAAAAAAATGTTGCTCAGGTACATCGTGTCCCGCAAGATCGACGGAGTGCTGACAGAGCAGGTGGCGTACAAGATAGACGCGACGAGTGCGCGCTACCGCGTGGTCGCCGAGAAGGAGGTCCCCAAGCAGCCGCGGCTCTGCGTGAAGAAGCTCGCAAAGAATTGCCAAAAGTGCGTCAACTTCCTGGTGCAGGAGGTGGAAAAGCCAGACGGGAGCGGTGAAAATAAAAAGGAGGATGAGGAAGAGATCGGCACGTTCAAGCCGAGCGTGATGGTGCCGATTTTCTTGACCATCGCGTGTTGCGGTGTCCTCGCCTGCTGCGGGGTCCTCGCGTTCATCGTCTACCGGTACTTCGTCGAGGACATATTGGACGGGAACCCAGCGCTCACCGTCTGCCTGATCCTGGCGACGATGCTGATGCTGAGCAGCGTCGTGCCATTTTGCCTCGAGGACAGGGCCATTGGGGCCGAGTACCTCAACTCTAGGAAAATATTCGTGTCCAGTCTCGCCTTCGGCCTGGCCTTCTCCGTCATGCTGACACGAGCTTTGTTCCTCGCCTTTTCCACGAAGGGGGTCTTCTCGTCCCAGCACATCAATGGCTACTTGCAGGCCCTCATGTTGTTCTTCATGGCCAATGTCGAGGTCGCCCTGTCCTCCACCTTTTTCGCGCTCAACGACACCGGATCCGAGAAAATCATGAGGGACGTTGGGTACATCGGCTTACTCAGTAAGTATACCCTTTTTAGTTTCTGTCTTCAAAAGTATGCACATCTGAAAAATGTTAATTTTATCATCACCATAGAGATATACGATTACTGTTCGACATACCTTTTTTTTACTCTTGCAAAAATATAAGTTACTTGTGTGACGTATAGTCGTGCCAAAAAGTAAATCATTTCCCTAGATATTTTTATATTTAAACGCGCAAATAAAATATTCATCAACAACATGCGCAAACAAAGCAAAGCACAAATCAGAACATGATTCGGAGTGAACACCTTGAGGTGTAAGTCAATGCTTCAAAGGCTTCGGAGTTAGGCCAGTTTTTTTGCCACTTTAAACGGTAGCAGATATAAATCCGTCATTTATCATAAACGTTATTTCATTGATGAAACTACATATTTACGACATTTTTCATTCGCCTCAGTAGTAATTGCAAGATAAAAATAAGACGTATACAAGTATACCTAAAAACGCAATATTTCCTACGTAAACAATAGTTTTTTATCGATACAAAATAAAAATAGTTGAAACAATTGATACCAAAAAATATACATGATTCACCCCATTTTTTTTTTTTTTAATGAAGGTTACGACATTTTCCTGCTCACCGTGTTGTTCTGCACGTGCTGTTTCATCTCGCAGATACAGCGCAACTACCACGAGGGCATATGTTTCTTCGGGACGGCGATCGGGCTGCTCATCTGCTGGGCCGTCTGGCTAACTTGCTTTCTCCTCATGTCCGCGGATAATCGCGACCTGATAGTCTGCTACGGGATCCTCGGCACGGCCTATCTCATAATCCTCGGCATACTCGTGCCGCGCACTTACTTTATGTGCGAGCACTTTACCCGAGGCAAGGACATCATGGCTACGTTCGAGCCCACGGATCTTGGACCCGATCCTAGGGTCAATAATACAGCCAGACAGGTTGGTTGTTCCCATTCAACGTTAATCCTTCAATTTTGGTTTGGTTTTTTCTCCCTCCAACTCTGCGTGTACCTGAACATACGTATATATGTGTGCACGTGCCCGCGTTCGTCGTCCACTACACAATTTCTGCGGGTCTGGGTCATAGTTACAACCTAAATAGCAGTTACGTGGTAAACTCGCTCTTTGCGCTTTTTTCCCTTTACTTACCTCGTATTCGTCCAATTAAAAGTCGGATAAAAAGTTACCCGCTCGAACTCGCAGCTCGAGGGAGACGTTTATTTTTAGCGTTAGGGGTACAAAATACCCTCATACCCGATGATTAACGGATTCATTAAGAATATCGTTACAAAACAGTGGTTATAAATAAAAGAGACCCCTTGTTTTTTTTTTTTTTTTTTTTCTTTAGAATTTCCAGTATACGTTACATTTAGCTTTCAAGATATAATTTGCTCGTGAAAACGGGAGTCCCCAATATATAACTTGAGGCATCATCTCCGTCATTTACCTCCACTCTATAACTTTGATTTAACTAAGTATAAGAAAAGTGTGAGCTGGTAATTTTATTATTTCTGTAAGAACCGGTTGTAAAAAAAAAGTTCCTAGCTGTTATAACGAAAGAATTAAAAAAAAAAAAAAGGAATTTTCCCACTGTCCGTATAGAAAAAAAATCCAGAGAGCTTTCCATTTTAGGCTCTGGACATGCAGTCGCGCCAGCCGTTCTACGACTACGTGAGCAGCGCGGGTCCGGCCAGTCTGGCCCAGCAACCCCAACCCGTGCCGTCGTTGGCCAACTATTACGGCAGCACCAGCCCAAGCCTGGGCCACCGACTGGCCTCGAGGTTTTCCCTAAGACGCCGCAGCCCAGAGCCCAGGCGCACGCCCGGATACAACAACTACGGCTACCGGCCCGAGATGAGGGAGCTCGAGGTGGCCCCCTACGTCATTCCGCGACTCAACATCGAGGACTCGGACGTGAGTTCAAGCTCCTATCGACAGGAATGAGCATTTACCTTGTTTTTCCTCACAAAAATTACACTAGTTGTACATACACATCAAACGCACCATCATTCCACATACTTTGACGAGGGTCGAAGAAGCTATGTGTGTAGGAAAAAAAAGATACGTATCTGATTCACGTGTGCACGTAGCCTTCCACACATACTTTATATCCATATTGTGTCCTGATGATATATATATAGCTCTATGTCACCTCTCTTGTGCACATTGGGGAAGATTATAATCAAGCCCCGATACAGGCTAAATAGTAAAAAAAATCCCGAAAAATGGCCCCGATTGATCCGATACGTTTGTCCAAGGTTAGCGAAGCGCAGCGATCTACGCGGAAAAGCGGGTCGATTTCGGGGGCGACGAGTACAGCGGCGTTGCCTGCGCCAGAGGCCCGCTACGCGATCAGGAAGAGCCGAGCCAAAGACAAGCGCGCCGGTCGTCCTTCCGCCGGCCAAAGTTTCTCCGTCGAGACCGAGGTCTACGTGGAGGATCGGCGGTCCCCGACTCCGCGGGGCCACAATGAGCCGTACCCCAGTCGCGAGACCACCAGCAGCCCAAGGCTCACCCCCAGCATCAGGGAAGAGCAGGAGAACGAGCACCCCGTGCGCATCACTCGCTTCTAACAACGACCTCTGGGCCATTCAATACTCTTTGTTTTTCCTTTGACCTTTTTGATGTTGTTGTTGTTGTTGTTGTTGTTACTGTTGTTATTGTTGTTAAGGTTGTGCCTCCAAAAATGTGTTTTTGTTGTATCTTGGAATGGAGAACGAGGCGTGTTGGGAAAGCAAAATTTTATTTCTGAGCATTTTCTTGATACCCTTTGTTCAATCTCAGGGTCCTTTGAGACGGATCTTTAAAAATCTTGCATCTTTGGATAGTGTCATATTGAGGAAAACGATCAAGTATGTAGCATAACTTTAGATAAATTTGATGTTTACCTACGTGATGCTGTTGACATTACCATTTGACTCTTAATATGTATACGTTATGTGTTAATTACAGTTAATCACCTTGATTTTTTATCTCGTATATTGTATGATTATATTATTGTTAAAATACGTGATGCCAACAATTGCTTGTATTTGAAGTTATACGTATCTTGTGCTTCGAACGAGTGGATATGGTACTGTCTTTTCCTTTTTTTTCTTCGATCTCTTAGACGTTACACTTGTTTATGAAATGTAAACTTTTCGTGCAAAAATAAAAATCAAGAAAAAAAAAAACACGTAAAAACCAACAGAATTTTAAAATAGTTTAAACAAGAAGGACCATCATTACGGTGTAGTAAAAATGTATAACCATTAAATAGTAAGTGCGCATCTTGGAAAATTTTGTAATGAAAATCTCATTGAACTTAAAAACTTAATGTTTGACGGACCAAAGTTCTTAAGTACATATAGTATGTAAGCTAATGGAAGCAAAACATATATTTTTAGTGTAAATATTGTACATACCCGAAAAATAAAATCCCAAATTTCACTTATAACATACATGTATGACACTTTGGATAAATAAATATGATGTATACTGCCACGAATGACGAATCAATGAAAGTACAATTTACCTAAAAAAAAAAAAAAGTCAACTGGTATACCGCGCGACAAACCCAACGACGAATGGTCCTCTTCACGGGGGCTTTTTCCTCGCGGCAATGATGATTAGCAGGAAATCAAATGCATCGAGTATCGACCGGGAAGCAGGAGCGTCGAGCGGAGGTGAGCAAAAAAGAAAAGAACGAGGACAAGCGGTGGGCGACGACCCGCGGAAACTCCATTGGGTCGCAGGTGCGTCAATCTCGGGGCGCGGTAATGGATTCCCCGAGTATATATCCTTTGCCAACGGGAAACCTTGTTCACCGACCACGCGCGTATACCCCGAGCTCCGGCATTAAAAATCGCCCCAACCCTGCACACGTATCCTCCGAGCTTATGTCTCTGGGTGGTGATGAAAAGTGGCTGAAAATTACTTCCGCCCCATGAGGTCGGCCAAAGAGCCGGCTAACGCGAGAATAAGTCTGTCGGGGGTAGATAAAGCCAGCCCCGCCGCGCGACGGATCGGGAAGAAATCGAAAAGTGCAGGCAACCGTGAAAACCGCGCGTGCGCCCTGTGCCCCGCCTGTAGGTTCTCTATAAAGCGAGCCCGACCAACCGATTGCCGAGGATTCTGTGCGGGATGCCCGCGGCGTTGCGATTCTCACGCGGGTGTCCTTCCAAATGACGCTGTTTCGGGGTTCCATCGTTGTTGTGGTGGCCCCGGCCCAGTAGAGGATGGAACAACCAAACATGTGCAGGACCGAGGGGAAAAACTCGAGGCTCCTGCTGGTGACCACGGTCTACCTGAGCCTCCTGCTCGACAATATTCTACTCACCGTCGTCGGTAAGTCTTCTCTCCTATTATATTTTATCCTGACAAGGACTCGGCCAACAGCTGCTCGGTTGCAAGTAAATACTTACTGTGTTATTTCGACTGTTTTCTTCGCGGTGCGCTTCATTCGATACGACCAAGAGTGTGGGTGAACCGCGGGAAATCCGCGATTCGAGGGTAAAGTGGCTTCGTTACTCGTCAAACAGGGGGCTGGATTTGAAAAATTCGTGGGGGGAAAACTTGAAGCCGCGGGGTGTTTTCGTACCTCGGAACTTTGTCGTCGTACACTTTATGAGCCCCTTGGAAACGACTTTCCAGTGAGAATGATAATTACGCGGGAGAAAACGGAGGTTTTTTCCCATCATCCCCTGTATGCAGTACTTGAAAACTCGAGTCTACGCACAGACAGTATGGAGCAAGTTTCACGAGGTTTTTCCGATCGAGGGAATAAAAGTTGAGGGAAAAGGGGGAGGAAAGTTAATGCGTGGGTTGTTGTGTTTTAGTGCCGATAATACCGGACTACCTGTACACCCTCGAGGGCAATTCGAGCGGCAGCGAGGAGGACGAGAACGGCCGGGTTGGGGTGTTGCTCAGCTCCAAGGCCTTCGTGCAGCTGGTTTTGAACCCCGCGGTGGGAACCCTCACGGGGACTTTTGGCTACGCCAAACCCCTCCTCCTCGGCAATTTCGCCCTTCTGTTGGCCGCGCTGCGTAAGCCACCTGGTTTCTCTATTATTGCTTCCCCCTTTTGGCTCATGCAATTTTCAATGTTATCCCCTCCAAATGCTCGGATGCCTTGTACTTTGCCCACTATGCATGAGTAATGGTGTGTTTTATCTCCTGAATCATCAATCTCTGTGCAGAGTAATAAACAATCGATGTATTGTTTCATTTTCATTTATTTTTTCTTAATTCCCTGCAACCTGGTGTACTTTATGTCGCACTCTTCCAAAAGACGGGGTTATAGGCAGAAAAATTAATATGGCCATAGTATTTTCGTTCGGTCGGACGTTCGAGGTGCTCTTCTTGGCGCGGAGCATCCAGGGCGTGTCCTCGGCTTGCATCGGGGTCTCGGGGATGTCGCTGGTGGCCTACCAGTATCCGGAGGAGGACAAGCGCTCCAAGGTCATGGGCTTCGTCCTCGGCAGCATAGCCGTGGGCGTTCTCCTGGGCTACCCCATGGGCGCGGTCCTCTACGACCTCGAGGGCAAGACGGCCCCCTTTCTCCTCGTCGCCGGGCTCGTCGTCCTTCTCATAGGTTCGTTCGCCCACCATCGAGACTCACCGCGCATAACATATTATGTTTATACTTGACTTTGATTTTTCCAGGACTCCAGCTGCTCCTCTTGGACTTCCGGCCGACGCCGCGGGTAAGGAAACCATTGTCCTCCCTCTGTTGGGGCGTGTATAATAAAGGTGGGCTCTGTTGCAGAAAACCGAGGAACAGCCGAATTGGGCGCACCTGCTGTTCGACACCCACATACTGGTGGTGGCCGGGGCCATTTGGTTCTCGACAACGCCCATGGCCATCCTCGAGCCGTGCCTGCCCATCTGGCTGCGCACGCACGTCAAGCCAAAGGTACACCTACGTGACATTGGTGAGAAAAAGAAAAAGTGATGTATCTGTTTCTCGTGTGTGTCCCCTTTCCCCCGCCACCCCGGTAGAAGTGGCAGCTGGGCACCGTGTTCCTGCCGGACAGCGTGGGCTACCTCATAGGGACAAACTTCTTCGGTATGGTGGCCTACAGGTACGGGCGGTGTAAGACCGCCGTCGTGGCAATGCTGATGGTCGGGCTGAGCGCCCTCGCGATACCGGAGGCCGACAGCATCCTGGAGTTGACGATTCCGCACTTTGGCCTCGGATTGGGCATTGGGGTGGCCGACGCTGCCCTCGTGCCGCTGCTCGCCTCCCTGGTCGACCAGACCGGCGGCTACGGGCCCGTCTACTCGATTCAACAGATCGCGGTCAGCTTCGCCTACTCTCTGGGTAAAGTATACACTATTACACATGATACCTAAATACACGTGCAATGGCTTTGGACAGGTTTGTTGTGAAATGCGATTGACGGATCAGATGTATCGATCCGAAACGCGCACCCATACGCAAGTTTCATCGGCTTTTATTTTATTTTATTTTTTTTCTTTTATTTTTTTTCTTTTTTGTTTTTATTGATCCGGTGCGAGTGTGATGCGTATTGCCAATGAGGTTGATTTGCACGCATGTACATTGGTTTCGACAGGTGCACATTTAGATTGACAATGTACGCGTTGCGTACGGGACTAGGAGTCGTTATCGCGTAAGAACAACGAGGTACTAGTTGTCTAAAATAATGTATATATTGTATACACGTTCGTGTTTCAGGCCCGATAGTGAGCGGCGAGTTGGTGAAGAGCGTGGGCTTTGCGTGGGTGATGCGAGTCGCCGGACTGGCCAACGTGGCCTATTGTCCTCTCCTGGTGTACCTGGCGCTCGAGCGTCGAAAGCACCAGCCCCTGGCGGAGGCGCGCGGCAACGGGGAGTACTGCTCTTTCGAGAAGCCGGGGCTGCAGCCCCAGCGGCAATTTCAGTACGAGCGCTTTTACGACTCGGACGACGGGCTTTAAAAGGCGACATGTATACGCGACGTTTTTCTTTTGACCCTCTTCTTTTTTTTTTTTTTTTTTTTTTTCTCTTCTTCTTACGGCATCACGTTTTCTTGCTCTCTTGTCTATTGTGTGTACGTGTGCGTCTTCCTTCGGGATGGACGCCGAATTCGGGGAGACCAATGAAACTTCCAAGATGTTCGAGCACGTTCGCGGCTCCATTATATACGTATATAAATGCCGTATTGACAAACTTTCAAGTACTTCGGTTTTATAGTGCCTCGGAAGCAAATAATACCGCAAAATTGTGTTTGGATTCATAAACTAATGGCCTCGTTTCGAGCATTTTTTTCGGACTATAACGGAATAAATCATTGCACCGGGTATTTTCTCTCTTTTTCGAAAATTGCGATGGTAAGTACGCTCTTGTTCGAAAAGACGTGAAAAAGCGAGGATGAAAAAGTTTACATCAAACGGATGTAATCGCGTGTTTTTTTATTTCACTGCGTACACGCGAAAACAGGTCAAGGGGTTGTCGATTGTGCAAAGTCTTCACTGTACATTAGCTTTTCAAAAATTAAACTGTTTTACACGAGTTACGCGTAAATGTGTGCATCCACATATATATATGTTTCGTATGATAAAAGCAACTTTTTCAAATATTGATATTTCCAGTCATACGTTTATTGTGTAAATAATATGTTATATCCTTATTCTCTGTACCAGTAATATTTTAAAAAGATAAAAATACACCCATGTAAAATATTAAATTGTATGAAATATTTAATACAAAAATTTGTAATTAAATAAAAGCATCGTTTTATGTAAAAAGTCTGGAATATATTGAATAATTTGATAATACCTTGGATCCCTCATACTTTGAACGCTCATTCCATAGCCGAATTTTGTCTAGCACTTATTCTCGCAAACTATTTCTTTACCTTAAATAACAAAGAAAAGGTTTGTATGGTGGTTATCATTTATTATGCACGAGAACAAAGAAAACCGTAAATATTCATTTTATCGGAGTTGAAAAGGAGCGCGGGTGTAAACACATAAAAGGGGGAAAAGAGCTTAAATTCTTTCGCTGCTGCTCTTTGCACCGTTAAAGACGAAGAAAATAAAAACAAAAAGCACTCTACGTTTTTATCTTATTTTTCTACCCTCTGGTGTGAAAAATTTTAATTACAATAGAAACCAAGTTGCTTTCATCCAAAAGCTAAATGATACATTTTTAACTCCAAAAAAATTTCCTGAGTTGGTTATAGAGACTTTGTAAAAAAACTTGAATTTCTACGTAATTATTTCTCAATTTTAGTCAGTTCTTTACATACATGTTGTTTCAGACATTTGGATTTAGGAATAATAAATTATTAAGAATTTAAAAACAGATGCTTCAACGACATGAAATAAAATATTAAATGATGTACAAAAAATTCAAAAACGTTAATTTAATCAGGAAAAATGAATTAACTCTCCCGTCAATTTGAATAAAAATGAAAAAAAAAAATTATTGTTCGATGGATTAAAACAAAAGAATGATTAATTTTAGAATGATTTATTATTAGGAAAAAAAATATACGAGCAATTAACAATCTGTTACAAATACTATGAGTGAAAGGACACTGAAAAACTACCAATCAACACGAAAAACTTTTCACCAGCGGCTCGTAGATCTAGTATCTGGATAAACTTTGAGGATATATTTTTTAATGCACAAACTTTAAAACAAAATAAAATCCTAGGTTTTAATAAACATTTTTCTTCTGAAATTATGATTAACTGTCGAAATGTATTAAATGAACTTTCAACACCATTACCTTAACATCGTTCGAAGACATTACGTTTTAACGAAAAATAAAAGTTTAAACGAAATAAAAATTTAAAAAAATTCTGCATCTGTCGAACGGAAATCGAAAAATATATACATGTCGAAATGCACCTTTTACGTTGATTTCTACACTTGACTTCCAACCCGATCAACTTTTGAACGGAAACTTTAAATCATAAAAAAGTTTTTACAACATTCCGGGCTTCAATGTAGCTTTTATTTATGACTGTTTGGAGTATGATGTCATTTAATATACATCAATTATTTTGAAACAGAAGTGCATTTGACTTTAGTATCGTGGTTTCCATCATGTTGTGACATACAAAAACATTCTAAAGTTCATTAAAAGTACGTGACCCGCATAAAAACAGCTATCAAAATAATGGTGAGTTTTGATTTCTTAAAAAAAAATCATTTTTTTGTTCAAGAAATTATTTCGTTAAATTTGAAGTCATTGTCAGATTATCAAAATTTTTTCGATTCTTTCCAGCAGAAAATTATAATGATTGTGCTAATTTTAACAATTGATATTACCGTTCAAGAATTGCACTATATAAGTTATCACAAAATAGCATCAAGCGTGCTGATAATAAAAAATATTGCAGTGGTTAAAAGAAAAAAAAAAAATTAACATAGAAACATACGAGTTTTGTTAGAAAAATGTCAGAACAGTTTATTGATGATGCAAAAAGTTGTAGGGGATTGAAAACGATTTGTTACACAAATCAACACACATACTGATAATAATCAGAAATCTAATTATAATATACAAGGTTTTGTACTAAAAAAGAGAAAACAAGTAGAAAAAAACCATACAATTAATATTATTTTGGGGTCTCACATAATCTTTTTTTTTTCTTTCCAGAAATCAGAAAAGTGGCTTTCATCGTTAATTGACGTTTGTACTCATTACACACTATTATTTCGTAACTCGTATCTCATACAAATACTCGACACATCTGCTCTTTTCTGACGGGGTTGTGTACGCTTGTCTCCGCATTTTTGCACACACGCCATCCAATGAATGCTTAATGCAGCCTCTGACCTTTCCTGATCCCACTCTCGCAAAATTCCCATAAACAGAACAGGGTTAAATTTTTACAAGCTACACCGACGCTGCTGGAGACTGGCTGGGCTTCGACTCTCGCGCACATCGAACTTTAATGCATTCGTTTTTACGGATCTCGCTCTGCTGTTATTGAGCTCCCTTTTCTTTCTATTCCTACTGCCTGTGTGTCCTTTTGTCCCCTTCGAAGACAATTAAGAGTAACAGAAATATATCGGTTTCACCTCGTGACCCTTAATCACCCGTAAATTTATAAGAATCACTTTGTGCATGCGATATGCGTATAATGTACCCCAGTAAGGTGCAGTAAACAACTAAATCAAAGTTTACAGCCAACTGCTGCTTCATACGGCAATCTCCCCTCGCTTGGCCTTTTGAATATTCAACGGTGCTCCGCTGCGGCCAAGATACGTTAATGCGCTAAAAAAGTTCGGTGCTTATATATTTTTGCGAAAATGACAAAGTGGCTGTTTTAAATTTCATCCGCGTGCTCGGCGATATCTCTTTAAAATTCAAGCATCAACGATGGATGAAGTGTCGGTGTGTGACTGGTATAGTAAGAGGCTCGTAATGGATGCTGGACTCGCTTTTTTACCAAATCTCGAATCTATGACGCTGTATAATGTACACGCCAGCATTAAACATGTAAGTGGACGCAACCTTGTACGCTTAACATTGACTAGATTTCAAAAATTATTATTTGCCAGTTCTTATTTTTTCAATTTAAATAAATGCCATGTTTATAAAATAATTCAGCCTCATTAATCAAGTATATTTTTCCATTTTTATTATCTAAGAACACTTGATTCCTTTGGAAGCTATTGCATGAGTAAAAAGTGGATTATTACGATTATAACGAGAAAAAGTGTTCGACGTGCCGAGAATGCGTATTGGCTGATTTCTGGAAATTAATTACGTAAAAAGCCTTGGTGATTATTTCCTACAATAAGAACAATAATTTCCGGCACTTGTATGGGAACAATAAGATGTTTCGTAGAGCAAATAAATACCACACAACTGCAAAGAAATTAAAGAAAACTTTTTAAGAGCTGAGAGATTAGTTCATTATGCAGTTGAAAAAAGTTGTAAGTCTCATAAAAATGAAACTCTTCTGAAGCATAGTTCCGTCCAGAGTGTAGTAGTGGTCTAAATGGTGAAAAACTCATAAAGTGGAAAGTTAAAATTTTACGACTAAATTGTGGAGAAAGGAGATGTGGTTCTCACAACAAACATCTCTTGATGGCTTTGTCCCAATTTGATGATTTAAGTTCACATAAGGTTCCGAGAAATAAAAGAAAGCTCAATGCCCAAAATTATTATTTGGTATTAATGTGAAAAAACAAAAATAACTTTGTAATTATTAAAACTCATAAATTAAATTTATAATCAATTTTATATAAAAGTGCTGTCATTATACTTATTGCCCATTACGAGGTGGTTGACGTGCTTTAAATGGAAAAGATTTATATTTGCTAAATTTAGGTATTCATTTTTTCTTCTTTTGTTACGGGCACTTTGAAATGTCCAATGCATTTCTTTCTTTCTTTTTTTTTTCGAGTTCCTTTCTTTTTCTCTGTCAAATCAAGCTTTTATTTTTCTCAAAGGGATCAACGTTTTCAACTCTTTCACCAATGTATTCTTGAAATGAAACAAAATATTCTTAGCCAAATTGTAAATACACGTATCACGAAAAAACATTTTCAATATCTCATAATTTATAAAAACATTTTTAATAAAAAAAAGCGACAATCAAGTTAGTCGAAATTAGTAACACCCGCAAATTTTCCTTATCGTTGCTTCGAATAAAAACACGCTACGATAAACACACATACCCAACGAAAAGTCGTGTCATCGTACAGTTGTGTATATCGATTTCTCGGGTCCAAACAATTCCACCCCACGGTACAAAAACACATGTTACGCGGTCCAAATCCCCCTATACGTATGTGCGAGAAGGTTGCAACAACTGCGAGAGCATCATTACGGATCGTGACACCCCATCGGGGAATCGACCGATCAATCAATCTCCTGATCGCGACTGCCATTCAATTAATCCCACCTCCGTTGAACCGCACTCTCTCTTTATGTAACTACAATTCCAATTTCATTGCGCGTTAAAAAATC